CACACACACACACACACACACACACACACACACACACACACTATCCTGTTCTGACCCCCCTCGTTCCACACCTAAATCACACTCCGAGCCAGAGATAAGTTATGGCATTTAATTAACAGACAGACAGGTCCTTGGCAGCAAACAGGCAGGACAAGTAATGTCCTCTGACATTCAATCCTGTGTTGACTTCTGCAAAAGGGCCATGTGCACAAGCAGTCCTTTTATAGTCTGGAGAGGAGCCTAATGACCACCAGCTGAGTGCAATTACTTCCTGTAACTGCGCAACTGTTCCTGATGCCTATTAGCTCTTCAATGGTGTGCATCCAGGAACAACTCACTGCTGGTGTCCAGCTCACTCTCCCTTGTCTCCTCCCCACTGGTCCGAGGCTCAGGTGCCTCCTGGTGGCCAACCAGCCTCTCTGCACCCTGCTCGGAGTTGGAACCCTGTCCAGGGTCCTCCAGAGCTGACTCAGAGGGACCCTCGCTGTCGGAGTCTGGTGGCAGCTCCAACTGCACCTGCTGGGCGCAACAAGTATGGAACAGGGACAATATTGGTCTCTCTTGGGTGACCTATTTCTAGTTGGATGGGGGGAGAGCATCTTGGTCTTGTTTTTAATACCATCAATCTCAATATCCATTGAATTGTCTACAGAGGCTGGCTATATTTCTTGCTCAGTAGGCAATTTCAGTCTGAGATAGTGGAGAGGAAATATCAGCCTGATGGCCCCCAATATTTAGAATGGTGCTAATATAGAGGGGTCTATATTAGCTGGTATGTCTGTTGTGAGTTATTGAGTTATTTTGGGAACACATAGAAGCGTATATAGCTTGACACTTGAATATATGCGGGATCACCTGCCTTAGTCACCATTAGCTCAAATGATTAAAAAGTCTAGGGAGAAAATACTCCTTCTATATGTTTTAGAGGTTTGTGAGGCTGAAACAAAAAGGGGTTGCCTTTGTGCAACACTACCAGAGTTTGGGAACAGCTTTCCAATGTAGATCAAGTTGGTTCCTTTCTTGCTGACTTTCAGAAAAACATTTTATTTTTTAAAAATGAATGGTTTCAAGGTGCCTTTTAAAAAAACTTCCATTTGATTCCATCTTGTTTTCTTACTGCTTTCTGCCTTTTTCTTTTCTTTTTAAATTCTGGAGGTAAATAATGTTTTTGTGGATAGTTTTAAGTGATAATTGGGATTGGTTTTCACCTGATTATGGATTCTTGCTTATGCAGGTAGTCCTCAACTTACAACCATTTGTTTAATGATCATTCAAAGTTATGACGATGCTGAGAAAAGTTACTTATGACCAGCTTTCACACTTACGACTATTGCAGCATCCTCACAGTCACATGATCACAATCTGGGCACTTGGCAGCTTGAATTTACAATGGTTGCAGCATCCTGGAGTCATTTGATGGCCATTTGTGACCTTCCCAGGGGCTTCTGACAAGCAAAGTCAATGGGCAAAGCCAAATTTGCTTAATGAAGATGATGATTTGCTAAAACAGTCGTAACATTTGACATGGCTCACTTAATAACCATATTGATTAGCAATGGAGCAGGGGTGGGCTTCAAAATTTTTAGCAAGGGGTTCTCTGCCCAGTTGCTGGGTGGGCGTGCCCATGGTAGGCATGGCCTAGTCAGCCTCATGACCCATGGTTGAGAAGGGGGTGTTTTTGCCCTCTCCGGGCTCTGGAGGTCCTCTTCCCGAACTTCCGGTAGACCAATTTTTCACCCTCCCCAAGCCTCTGTGCGCGTCCTGCACTTACCTGCATCCAAAACAGGCCGCGTGGGGGTTCCTGGGAGGGGAGGGGTGGGTGGGGCCAGCCAGGATTGGGATTTGGAGGTTTTCTGAACTTAGAAGTTTAGAGGTTTCCCAGAACCCCTGTGAACCCCCAGCAACTTACCCCTGCAATGGAGGTTCCGATCCCAATCGTATTTGGAAGAAAAGGACTACACGTTTATCCTCTAGGCTGCTGAGAATAGCTTTGATTTTCAAAGTTTGAAATAGAGAGATTTCCATACTTATTGCTACAGGGAATCATCATCATCAGAAAAGGCCATTTAAACCACTGAGAAATAATAATAGTGATAAATTATCATTATTACATAGCCTAATTTAGGCCCTGCTTATTTTTTTCACTTTCCCCTATCATGATTTTGAACAGTGTTTGCAGCTTATGGCCTGAAAAAAAATATGTCCATCTGTGTGCTGAATTTAAAAGCCTTAATCTATTACTACTGATTTATCCTAGTAACTTTCTTCTTTTTTCTTTACAGTTTCCTCGTCGATGACAGTCTTTATCTCCTGAAGGCCAACTCTCAGATTCTTAAAATAGACTAAAACCTGTGGCAGAGACTAACTTGGAAAAAGCCATGGGCTGCCATCTATAAAAGACACCCGGTTGCTTTGATTTCTAGCATCTGAGGAGTTTGATGTTCTAAGCCCTCTTTGCTCTGACGATTGGTGACAATTTCCTCTCTATTGCTTCTGTTTTTACATCTCAACAGCTCCCCTTTCAGAATTCTGTTGCCATAGTGTGATAACCTGATTGCCTTTTTTTTGCTTGAATGTATCAAGACATGCCTCTCGTCTCCCTGGGATTATTTTGGGTCCTTTCATTTGCCTTCTCCAGTTCTTCCTACGCTTCTCTGAAGAGAGCAGGGAAAACTTTATTTATTTCATTCGATTTCTCTCTTCTTCTTTTTTTTCATTTTTACAAATGCGCTTCTGTGGGTTTTGGCTGGTCCAATAGACTGCATTGAAAGGACTTTGCAAGCTGCTTGGAAAAATAAAGGGCAGCAGCAGGTCTGGTAAATCACAATCCATCTTTATGCTGCTCTTGACTTAAAGTCCAGATTTTCAAACAAGTGGTCTTATAATGCTGCTTCACTGAGAAGCTCCCTGTTTTCTCAACAAGCCATCAGGAATTTAGCACTATGCTCCCTACTTTCCTGTCAGTCATGAGAAAAGTAGAAAATGGATTCTATACTGCAGTGACTTTTTAAAAAAAACAAAAATAGGTGCTGGGGTTAACTGTCTTCTTTTTCCAAAGTTTGTGTGTGTGTGTGTGTGTGTGTCTGTATGTGTTCGGGTCTTTTCCCATGTAAGATTGAGATTGTTTTGGCAATGTTTCGGCGAGGTCTCACTCGCCATCTTCAGGCTGGAGTTTTTGGCTTACATACATACATACATACATACATACATACATACATACATACATACATACATACTCATTCTATCATAGTAATACTTATTCTTTCATGGACGTGCTCGGTCACATCACTTCATTGTGTACTGCATTATTAAGTTGCTCCAAAAATCTTGAGAACACCCCCACCACCAGATTTATTGGACTGTCATCAGAATTCGCTTCCAGCTGGAGGAGGAAAATCATGGGGAATTATTTAAAAATATTTTAATTAATCTTTTGGAATTAATTTGTGACATTTTAATGGCACAACCTATTCCTAGCAAGCTGCAATAGCTGTTTGAGAAATTTCAAAACAAAATGCAAAACAGATCTGGAGGGGAAATAAATAGCATTTCTCCTACTCATCTTGCCACAAAACTTCATCTTGTTCTATGTTCCCTGAATCATTTGTCACTCAAAGTCCAGGAGGAAGTTTGCTGTCTTATCTGTCTACACTATTGGGGCTTCTATGGCTATACCCCATTGCTTGGATCAGCCAAATCCATCTATATTTAAAGGCAGGCTATTCCTATAGTTTTCTTTTGGTGTTCAGCCATTTTCTTTCCTTTAATTGTAGGAAGGCTCAAATTAAGGGATGTCCCTCTGAATCTGAAGATGACAGAGTGCCTGAATATTTATGCCAAGAAATGTTGATTGTTTGCAGAGACACATGACCTCAGGATTTTGTTGCTCATTAAATGTTCTCATTGTTGAAGCCTTTCAGGGCATTCAATTCAGCAACACTTACAGCACTTAAGAGAACTCATTACATGCTGATTGTGAAACACTTGAGCAATTTTCTGCCTGTGGGAAAACTAGAAAAAGTAACCTGAGGCCAAAGTGTCTTTTGCTTGAAGAGTGCCAAAAGATTCAGAAATTGCCTATGATTAGTGAAAAATCAAAATAAGATGTGCAATGGAGTGAGACTGTTCATGTGGGTATTTTGGTTCTATTCGGCCACCAGATGGCAGTGCTTGCCAATTCATCTATGATTTGGAAGTGGTGTTTAAAACATAAGGTTTTGGTTCTGTTTTTATTGTAATGTGGTAATTTTAAACAGGGGAGCCTTTAATTAATTTATTTTATCAGGCTACTGCACAAGAAAATTGGCAATAGTGGCTAGACTTGCGTGAACAACAGTTTGCTTATTCTCATCTTTTTAAAGAAACAGTCATGGGGAATCCCATTTATTGCTGGTTGTATTGTTCTGCCTGACCTGGGGGAGATTCTTTTGATAGTGACTCCCCAATCTTGGGGGATGTGCTTGGTATCTGTTCAATGTGAAAAGGGTTCACATTGGCAGTGAAGGAGATTTAAAATCCCCCTCCCCCATACTATATGCATTCCCACTTTCAGTTCTGTGAGAGAAAAGGAGTGCCTTTTATTATAGCCTTTTAATTCACTTCAGTTTGGCTAAAACTTTTGCATTTATGTTCATTTCTCTGAAGACTGGAGCAGAAAAGTTGCTCACCTATAGTTCCTGGTCATAGGTAATACTCATTAGGTCTGGAGAAAGTTGAAATCTAGAATATCTGATCTGGAACCTTGGCTGCCTTTCTCTGGCAAAAATTCAGATATGTCCAAGACCAACAATATTATCTTATGCTTATACAAAAGAAATCCTTGTTTGGTGACTGCCTTATTTAGCAGATGTTCACAATTACTATGTGATGAAGAAATAATTTTACAACCAATCCTTGTATGTATGACCTTCACAGGTTTTAAAGGAAAGGAAAACTGAAGTAAGTACAGTTGTTTCACTTAGTGATTGCTTGGCTTAATGCCTGAGTGGCTGGGCCCAATTGTGGTTACTAAATGTGAATAGAAGACAAGAGATCATCAACATGAAGTTCCAGATGGCTAGATTCAACAACAAAAAATCATTATCTTACAAGATGTTGGCCTTCTCACATGAAATTTCATGCATCAATGCTGCTTTCACAAATTTTTCTGTGAGAATACCAGATTAAAGTAATTAAAATAGACAAATGTTGATCATCTTGGACAATTTGGATCGTGATTATTTTAACGGGGCTGGTTTACATTGTTGCATGATGATAACTTGGGAAAAAAATAGCTGATCTTAAATTTAGGCTTCTGGTGTTGGCAATTTCTGGCAGAGTTCTAGGAATGTTAAATAGTTTCTCCCAAAGTTAAGGTTGACTTGAAGATGTTATATTTAACGTTCTACAGCCTTTCTTCGTTATGTTTTGCTGCAGTTGGAGATTTGATTGTTCTTCAGGAAGCAATCAAACAAGCTTGGGAATGATTTCAGATTTAAATGTTAAAGTCCACTGTCCTTCTTGTTCTTTTAAAATGAAATCTTACTTTCTTCAATCATAAACAGGTACTACATTTTGCAGTAGAGTGTACGGAGTTCTTCAAAGACGAAAGCTTAATTGACTGAACCATCTTCTGGCAGCATTCTGCAAGCCAGCATTGTATACATAACAATAGGGAGCAAGAGAAGCTGCTCATTGTGTAGGACTTAAACATGTGAAAGCAGAAATTAGAGTCTTGGAAATCTGACATTGTCCTGATTGCCTTTTGTCAGTCAGCATTTCTGTTCAAAAGTGCTGTGTCACAAAACAGAGTGTGCCAGACGTAAACTGGGGGGTTCAAAATAATCAGGATGGCCACCATAATCATAAAATTGAAGCCTTACTCCTTTTTTTTTACATGCATCATAACACACTTTAAAGGAGGCTGGACTTTGGTTGAATGTTCATAGCAATTATGTCAAGTTTTTGGGCTGTCTTGCAGACACTGCTGAAGTCGGCTGACTGGAAAAGATCCAGGCAAGGGGAATTATCCGACGGTCCTGAGAGCCATATTTGTGAGAAATGCTTATTTTTGCTTCCCAGACACCACTTTTTAAATGTAAGGCTGTTTTTGCATGTCTAATTTTATATAGTACATCCACCTTCAGGTTAAATGTGTGAATTGGATTAATAGTAATCCTATTGTTACTTTCCAAAAGTCACTAATCCTGTTTTAGAGGTACTTTCCACAAGCTTTGCCAATCCTTTTGGCTGGTAGCTTGGAACCTGGACAGCTGGAGATGTCCTGTTACTGGCTTTGGGGATCTATATTAGGCTGCACCTTAGTTTGGCTAACCAAAGAGAACAAAATGTGATGTGCATTTTTTTTTTTGCTTTGCTTTGTCTGAGCAATCTGCAGCCTTCTGCATGTTGCTCAATATTAACTCACTGCAACTTCTATCAGAAATGTCAGTGTTAACTGACTAGTCTCTGGAAGGTTGCAGGTTGCCCACAGTTTGGATATCTAATAAATGAAAGAAAAAAAAGGAGCTAAAAATGCTGGTTCTGAAAGCATGGGGGCGGGGGGGGGGGCTCTTGTGCAAGCATTGGTAGCCAAAAGAACAGTTTCTAATTGGGCCCATGCAGAGCAATCCTGACTGACTGCCCACCCAGTGTTTAAATATATGAAATCAGTGGCATTTTTGCTGAAAGTCCAAGAGCTGCTTTCCTGTTTAGGAGAGGCAGCTGCTAGAGCTTTTTGGTTTCCTAAGCGGAAAATAGAAAGGAATAGGAAACATGTCTGTTGCAGAGCCACTACCAGGCTAGATGTACTATTGGACAGTTTTCAGTTCCTGTGACTAAAATCTCATAGGAACAATTGTAATTGGAGCTGTGTGCCTTCTGTTCTAAAGCTGTTCTGGATTCTGTGCTGAGAAGGGTGTTTTGTAAACAGGAAAAAAATTCCTTCCTTCAGAAGTGGTGGGTGCTCCGTCATTGGAGGTTTTCAAGAAGAGAGTGGACAACCATTTGTCTATTTGCTTGAACAAGAGTTTGGACTAGAACAGTGTTTTTCAACCTTTTTTGTGCAAAGGCACACTTTTTTCATGAAAAAAGTGTGCCTTTGCACAAAAAAGGTTGAAAAACACTGGACTAGAAGACTTCCAAGGCTTCTTCCAACCCTATTCTATATTCTGATCTTGACCTTATGGTCAATGGGAGGAAAGCCTTCTTCCTGCCTTCTTCCCATGATTGTTAGGAGCCTCCTGTTTGTGAAAATATATCTAGAATATGCTAGCATTATAGCTAAGTATGTTGTGTGAACACAGTTGACTTAATTTGATAGACCATAGTCTAGTAAACCATGTGCTAGTAATTTGTGCATAGAGATCTAAGTTAGCAGTTTCAGATGTGGTATGTATGGGATCAATAAATCATGAAAAATAATGGTGAGGAAAATAAACTGATAAAAGAAGAACCCTATTTTGCTATCCCAGAAGGCTGTGGGTGCATTCCTATAAGTCCTTGCTAACCCATCAAGCTCATTTGGCCTTCCTGTTTTATATTTCAGCTCGGCAGTTTATAACCATGAGTACATTGTGCAATTAAGCCAATTATAGTTTATTAACTGAACCCTGAAAAAAAAAGCAAACCTTGGTTTAAGCATGAACTCAATCCTAATATGAGTAGTACCACTCATACTCTACCCCACTGTGCTGAGAAGGAGTTGGATGAAAAGAAGACCCAGCTCATGCTAATTTTTGATGTCTGATACGTTTTCACCAAGATAGTAAAGTGCTCTAGTGTCTCAAATGCAAGCTAAATTGTAATAATGGGACTTTTTCATGGCTAACCCCCACCCCTTTCTATTCCAGAAGAGAAATTCAATAACATTTTTTTTTTCTGTGACTGGTCCCAATTCTGTTTGGAATTTTGGCAAAATCATAGAAAAGCACCCACTCTTTCTTCTGGGACTCCAGATGCCTCGTAAATCATATCCTTATAAATGTGATACCAGGATTTAAGTTAAAATCCAGCCTTTCCTTTGCAAACAGCTTAGACGAAATTCCTAGGCAGGCAACTCTCCTTCTTTCTGTTGAATAGGGTAAGGTTGGTGGAGTTTCAACTGTGAAACATTTTGTCTATCCTAAGATTTTATATGTGTCAAGAAGGAAAAGCACAATTTTATTAAAATATTGCATAAAAGATAATATATTCTGTTTAAACTACATTCATCTGTCCAGACTTACATCCCAGGCACTTGGTAATTTTTTTACTGCTACTTCTGCTGGAAGTCAGCTGAATTGAAAGAAACTATTAAATCCCAGATAACATACTGGATGGTCAACTGCGTTCCTCTTAATGGGTTACATTGTACAGAGTCTTCTCAGGGAGACATCCTGCTGTAATTGAATTTCTGCTGGGTTTTTTTTTTCCAAATGTGTGTGCAATTTCCAATAAAAATGATTCAGTTTAAATGCTAAACTCTTGATGACCTTATTTAGCAGCTTGTAACTGCCATGAAAAATCCTTCCATCATATTACTATCCCTTTAATCTCCATTTGTCTTTGAAGCTTGGCTTGGTTAAAGGGCAGCTGCTGAAGTCTGTGAGTTTCCCAGCGTGTGAGAATGCTTACAGACAAGCAAGTCCGTGATGGATCTTCTGCCTGCAAGCTGCCTTTTTCCTAAATCGGGGAATTTGATTTAGGAAAAAGGTGGCCTGTAGGCAGAAGATGGATCTCTTCCACCAGCTGGGCTAAGAGGTGGCCACCCTATGAGTAACACCATCACATTCCTCCTATCTGCTTTCTGAAATGACACAACTCAATCATGGATTTGCAAGTGAAAAATTCGATAAATGTAATGAAATACTTAAAATATTACGTTTTAGTTTTAGAAACATTTGGCTGTTAGATATGTTTAATTCGGTGATAATGTCTTTGTGTCAGAAATGCTGTAATAACACACCCATACATATACACACAGACACCACATACACATGGAGGGGCAGCAAGAGGTGTGGAAATACTTGCAATGACTTCAACGCCACCGAGCCTTGAACATAATCATTTCAATAGCCTGGTTGTTGTTGTTTTTCAAGGAAAATACATGTACAGTATCTAAGATCCTCTGCTTTTAGTATATTCTCTTCTACTCTGAAAATAACTTTTGGAATTAAGGAAGCATACAATCTGCAGAATTTACATAATGCCTTGGCTATGGCTGATGCTGCTTCCTGTTGGGCTTGGAAGCCATCTTTTGCAGTGGGCCTCAAGCCTGCCACATATTCTACTGTGGGAAACTGGGAGGGGAATTGTATGGAGCATGGAAGGTATGTAGCCAAAATAACATTCTTTCTAAGTGAGTCAAGGTCATCTTGCCCCTGCACCTGGAGTGACATGATTGGGAGAAATCTTCCTCTGGACAATGACTGATTGGACCATGTGATGGACGTGTGGGTGCTGGGGCCGGGTCTTGAACTTTCAACTGGGTGGGAAAAACCTGTAAGCTTTCAGATTTGGGTTCTACCAGATGTGCCAACATGGCTTCTCTAATAAATTGGAACTTTGAAGAACCTCTAGCCCTGGATTCTTATTTGATTGAGGATACTATTTGGAACTTTGACACTTACAACATAATTGAAATCACAACACCTGCTATTTGTGTTTTACTGTCAGTATACCCAAACTGTAACTCCTCAGATAATGCAACTAAATTAGAGTGAAGGGAAGATAAACTAAAAGTATTACGGCTGAGTTCAAGTTATATTCCAAGCATTTTTGTTTTTAAAAAAAAGTTTAGCAGATCCCTCTAACTGCCACCAAAGATGGCAGCCATTCATGGCAAATGTCTTTCCAGTTAACACATTTGGGACGGAAGATAAAAATTTAAAAACTATTTGTGAATTCAAAGTGGTTCTCATATTAATTCCTTCAAGAAGGTCAGCATGAAGAGGAAAACAAAACTTCAATAAGCATGCAGCACCTCCTAGTACAGCAATGGCGAACCTTTTTTGGCTTGTGTGCCATAAGTGGGGGGAGTACAGGGGGGCGTTGTGTGCGGGCATGCCACACCCATAATGCAATGCGTGACACCCCACACCCCATGCGCACACTACAGGCATACCATATTTTTTGCATGTTTTTTCCGCCCTCCCCAGGCTCCAGAGGCTTTATAGGAGCCTGGGGAGGGTGAAAACAGCCTCCCCCTGGAAGCCCTCTGGAGGCTTCAGGGACCTTCAGGAGGCTTCCCTGAAGCCTCCAGAGCCGTCAAAACGACCCTCTGAGCAAACCAGAAGTCCGTTCCTGAACATCCGGTTTGCCCTTGGGCTGTTTTTTTGCGCTCTGGGGGCTTCAGGGAAGTTCATGAAGCCTCCGGAGGGCCTCCCAGGAATGTGGGCAGGGGAGGCTCCTTTTGCCCTCTCTAAGCTCATATAAAGCCTCTGGAGCCTGGGGTGGGCGAAAAATGGCTTTAAAAAGGGTGAACTCAGCTGGTCAGCGCGTGCATGCGTGCTGGCCAACTGACAGGGCAGCGCCTCACATGCCCTGACAAATGGCTCCACATGCCACCTGTGGCACGCGTGCCATAGGTTTGCCATCACTGTCCTAGTAGATGTCCATAAAGTGTTGGTTTTTAAATGAAAGCTACCCAATCTGTTCAGATATATTTCATAACATATGCTGTAATATTTATTTAGTTTTCTGTCTCAATATTGAGTTGGATTCAGTTTTAATCATATTTTATATAAGTCTGTTGAAATAGGTGCACTTAATTATTTTGTCCAGCAATTTTCCTAGATCTTGCAATCTTTCTTCTTCCTGATTTTTCTTGCTTTCTTCACCCACCTGTTAGCAGAATCCTTAGTAATATGGATTACATAATACATATAATGTGACACGAGAATTCAAGCAACTGAGACTTCTTTAAACCACAGTTAAGCAAATCATTCCTTAGTATATTATACAAAACAAATCAGTAAGTTGCTTATGATGCACCTTCCTCCTAAGATGTTTTTCCATAAAGCTTTTTAGAACTTGTGATTGATATTTCTGGAATTATTTTTCTTGTGCCTGTGAAGTTTGATTTCATAGCCAATAATACTCATGCCATTACACTGAAAACAGAGGACTTAGAAGATAAAATAGCTTCTAGCATCAATTTTCTCAGGCAATCAGGAAAAAAAAAATGTAGGGAAGTGTCCAGTTTGTTCTGTAGAACACCAAAACAGGGTTCTTCTGCCAACTTCAAAATTAATAGAACAGGCAATATATGGTATTTATTTAAATAGGCAGGCTATTTTGTGGATAATTGTAGATTGCTTGCTCAACCTTGCTATCCAATATATTTGCAATCTTCAATTTGATGCGCTTCAAATATATTGGGCTCCAAATGTTATATTTGCCAACTACCAAGGCCTTGGAAGTCCTACACATCTGGAGAATACCAAACTGGAGGAAACTCCCCCTTTTTTTACTGCAGTTCTAGAGGTATAACTTTGCTCTGGCTGTTCTAAATGAAAAATATGTTTTATGTCCCTGATCTGCACTATAGGTGGGGTATAGAATTTGGGCAACACATTATTTCATTCTATGGCAGTAAAAATGAATAAAATCTGCAAAGGAATTTGTTTCAGATTACTAAAACTCTCCTCTTTTGGCAATAAATGTGAATTCAGATGAGAAAACAGAGGCAATAAGATCTAAGCACAGAGACTCCCAACAGAAAAAACAATGGGAAGAATGAGCAAGCTGAGTTTTTATGCCACATTATGTTTCTTTGACGGGAAATGAAGCAACCTGGAATCAAGCAAACTTTTGTGCATGGATGAAAAAGATCCCTTGTACATCATCAACTCCGATCTTCAAGGTTGGAGGCATCTTGTAGGAATGGAAGTCATGAATACGATAGCCATTTTTTGCAAACGATTCCTTGATGTCTACTTCACTCAGGGGCACCACCGTCAGCTTTACTTCTCCTGCTAAGTAGAAAGACTCTTCCAAAGCTCCAATCATGAGGAAATGGCCACCAGGTTTAAGGAGCCTGGTGACATTCTGAAAAGCTTTATCAAAGCTTGGGCGGTCAGGGCTCGCGGCCTCTAGGCAAAATGTAGAAATCAAAGCATCAGCTGGCTGGCTGAACAAAGAACCCAGTGGGTCAGGTTGGTGGATGTCAATAGGAAGGATCTTTTTCAGCTTCTTTTTCAGCTTTTGTTCTTTCTCCTTCCACGGCTCCCTATAGTCACCAGGAAGAGAAGGGGGAAAAAAAAAAAGGGGGGGGGGCGGAACAGGTTTATGGCTGTTATGATACATGGAAAGTTTAATTCTAATATAGAAATGGAGTCATGTGTCAAATCACTGTATTACATGAGATCAGGGGTGGGCTTCAAAATTTTTACCAAGAGGTTCTCTGCCTGGTTGCTGGGTGGGCATGGCCATAGTGGGCACCGCTTAGTCGGCGTCCTGCACTACAGGGGGTGTGTTAAGGAGTTTTTGTCCTCCCTGAGCTCCGGAGGCTTTTCTCAAGCCTCCGGGAGGGTGTAAACAGCCTCTCCAGGCTCCAGAGGCCTGTTTCTGGCCTTCCGGAACTTTCAGTGTGGCAGTTTTTCGCCCTCCCCGAGCCTCCACATGTGTCCTGCACTTACCTGCATCCAAAATGGGCCATGTGGAGACTCCTGGGAGGGGAGAGGTGGGTGGGGCCAGCCAGGAGTGGAATTTGGGGGTTCTCCAAACTGCACAGAATCTTAGCTAGAGATTATCCCAAACCCCTGCGAACTCCAGCAGCCCATTGATCACACATTGGCATATTAATCAGTTTGGCTCCTGGTTTATATTTCCAGGTACAATATAATTTTCGCTTTGTTTTCTCACAAATCATGTTGGGTCCCTCTTAACCATTTTTAACGTGGACATAAATTCCAAGAATATATAGCTTTTCCCTAAATCCAAAAGCAAAGTCCCCTCTCGGTTTCTTACCCTTTGCCTTCAATTTTACAAACATGCTGGATATAAGGTGACCAGTCAAAGCCATCCTTGTCTTCATTGTGCACCCAGTTGTGAATGAAAGTCCGGTTCACTTCCAGGAAGTCAGTGGCTACAATCTCCTCAAAGTAGTCACAGGCACTGAGGAGCTGGTAGATGGTGGGGCCTGTGCCAATATCAATCAAAGTGTGACCAGTGATTTTTCCTGCAAGAAATTTAAAAAGGGGGAGGGGGACCAATGTTTGCAAAAATCAGAAATGATTTATTTAAATATCAAAGTCAAAATAGTTAGTGAGAGTGAAGTGAAATACAAAGAGGAGGAGGAGGCACCATTGTAATGTGGTGCTTGGATACACACAGAGTCCTCTGTCATACTTAATCCCATTGACCTCAAAGGGCCATCCCAAAAATGATTTCTTTTGTTTTTCACCACAGCACTACGGAATCCTAAGGGCATGTGTGGAAGGAAAGCAGGGAATTGACTCTCTAGGGAATAATATAATATTAAATAGTAGTTGCTATTCATTTTGAGTTTCCTCTTTAGCTTTGTGCTAAACAGCTCAGGTGCTGTTATTGTAAGAAATTAAGCAGTTCCCTTGACAGAAATAGAACACTAGTCCATTTGACATTCCAGGAGGCAGACAAATTTTCCTGAAAATTTCAGGGAATGAATCAAGGGCTTTTTGTAGGCAAAGAATTATTCCATGATTGTTAACCCACTAAGTTTAAGCATTATTAAAACAATAAACAGGAAGAGGGGTTAGTATAGGACTTCTTCTCTGTGATGTCCCACAACATACATTGAACAGCAAGTTGTATATTATCTTTCCACCATCAAAGAAGTCAATAATTCATCAAAGAGAGTCGACAAGGCTGCTTCGTATCTGCATTTTTAAAATTTATAAATATGCAGAATTCCAAATATCTAATTCTAAATGTTCATATTTCAAAATATGAACATTTACTAGATTTGAATAGAAACACAGTATACACAGCAGGAAGACCAGGCATTGGTCAGCTATACAATGTTGAGAGGATCACTTCGGAATCCTTGTTCTTTCTCCTTTCATACCATTCTTAATTCTTACATTAGATGCAGAATTCTTAATCTTCAAGCACAGGTTGCCTGGACGTTTGTATCTTTCTTTGATAGCCCTTCAGTTAGATTACAACATTTTGTCAAGAAGAAAGTATACAGTCACAACAGCTATTCCAGTTGAACTAAGTGCTAATATGCAAATAAGATTATTTGTCTTGTGAAACTGATTAATAACTGAGTCGCTAGGTAAGAGAATGCTTTGTGTCAACATGGTTGATTCAACCCAAGTTTCAAAAATCAAAATCTCATCCATTTAGCAAATAAGCATTTAAGTTTTTTAAAAAAAAGATTGACACTGAATCTGATGGGAGCAGGTTTTGGGGTATCATTATCTTCAGATTCATAAATAGAATGTTAATTAAAACCAAACCCTGGCATTTGCTCCTCCTTGGGGAATACCCAAGATAGGATGGACAAGGATTGTTCACTCAGATGGCCATTCCAGGCATTGCTGGAGAAGAGTTTCTATTCTTCAAATATTCTAAACTAGGCAGATGATGATGGAGTTGATGATGATGATAAATTAAAAGATGCATTGATCAGTTTCACCATGAGTTCACTCTGGAGAATTTTTCTACTTGTGTCAAAACTTAGAAGCAGGTATTTTCATACCCACACCCTCAGCTTCATTATAACATTATAACAACTCTGCAAGAGAAGGGCAGATCTTTTGGTTCAGATTTTGAGATTTGAAAGTCATAGTTTTGAAAGAGCTAAATTGTTTCTTACTATGAAAACCTTCAAAAGGTTAGTGCTGGCCCACCTGAAAGCTATCAAGGATCTGCTGCTAGACTTTCTGCAATTCATCTACCTTGGAAATAAATCAGCAGATGATGCTGTGAATATAGCATTGTACTACAACTTACAACATTTAGAATCCCCAAAGACCCCAAAAGTGTCCTTTTTGTAGACTTCAGCTCTGCATTCAACACTATCGTTCCAGAAATCCTCCTCTCGAAACTGACTCAGATAGCTGTGGCTGATCACACTTGTAGTTGGATTATAAACTTTCTTTTTTGTATTATCTTCTTATTTTTTTTAATATATATTTTTTATTTTCATTTTTCATTTTCATACACTCACATGTATACACTATACAGTATTAAACAATAATTGCATCAATTCCTCTTTTCGACAAT